GTGAGTTTTGGTTTTTGAGTGATGTGAAACACAAAATATAATTTGAATAGTTAGGAAGTTGCCATTATTTCTATATAAAAATGTATTAAATGCTTTTATAGATCTAGCTTAATTAGAATTAAGAATGCAACAGTTTAGGCTTGTTTTTCAAAATTTTAAGCGCTTCTTCATGCTAAAACCTGGAAGTATTATTTCAGAGGTACCTTTTATGGATTTTTTGTTTTTTTAATCCAAAAGAGATCTATAAGGTCATGTTGAAAAACGCATTCTTTATGTTCCTTGCTTTCCCTTTTCCAAAATCTAGAATTGTGCAAAAACCATTAACCTCTTCTTGATTTATAGCCATTACAGCAAATTGGAGGATCCTGCCATATAATGATGGACCTCTGTCATGTGTTGTCTACTTTTTAATTTAGATTTGTGGTTTCTTGAAATCCAACTCAAACTGTTTGACCTACCACAGGAAAATCCTTTTGTGAGTAAGAAGGATTCCACCCATCACATACCAGAGAGGTCTTGCCTCAGCTGCTCTCAACTTCATAGTCTTGGGAAGAAGCTGACAAGCTTGGGTGAGACAATGTTTTGCTATCCTCCTTACTGATTTAGAAATACCTCTCTAGGATATTATTTGTTGTTATCAAGGGGCATTATAGTTGAGATTAGTTTCATGACTGAAACTAATAGTATAATAAATTTTAAATTGGTATGTAGATAATTTCGAGTTCTTAGTCACATAATCCATAAATAATATTCAAGGCATGATCATTTTTCTCAGAGTCAGGAAATAAATACTACTATCCAATGGGAATAGGATAGTTTCTCTCTATATATATGTGTATATTTATAACCTTGAATCAGTGATTTCTAATATTTATTAAAACTATCGAAAATTGTCAGTTCTGTGTATTAGGTTTATAAAACTACTGTAATGATCCAGTGACAAAGACTAATTAATGGATATGGCATTTTTGTTAAAGCTTTTCATAGCAGACAGATAAGGATAGCAGAGACCTCCCATTATTTTGAATTCCTGGAATATTTTGTGCCTACTTTCACAGCCCTGGATGATTTGCTGCTAACAGCACTTTATCTACCAGGGAATATAGAATCATTTCATACTTGAAACTAAAGGAACTTTGCAGATATGCAGTAGAACCTTTCACCTAGGACAGCATTTTGGGTTATTAAATCTCTATCTTTTTAATGCATCTAATTTATTTAGGTTTGAAATAATTACATTGTGCTGGAGGCAAAGACATTTTTCTTCCCCTCCCTCTTTTCATCCTCCACCCCACAGCTGATTGCAGAGCACTATGAGGACTGTACGAAAGTGGGTTTTAATTCAGATATTTCAAGGTGAGTTTTATATACGTTGAATACCATATAAGTCACCATTAATCTAGACCTTTAAAGGGGTACTATCTTCTTTCTGAACTCCTATTTTTATATTTAAAATTATGTTTTTCTTAGAAGATTTGTTTCAAGCTTAAAATGTTAATGGTGAAGATGGCTGAGGAGAAGAGGAACATTATATCACAATATATTGATCAGTATTAATGTGGAGAGATGCAAAACAACAACAACAGAAATCCCACAGATTTCAGTTAATATCTCTTGGCCTGGATGATCCCATATGTCATCAATGAATTATCAATTTCTAAAGAATTAATTATGAGAAAAGATACCACACTAAATCCCTTCTGAAGGTAATCTATGACACTTAAAAGCCCTTTTGGATGATGCATAGATGCCATTAGGACTATCCATGTTCCCAGACATAAATTCCAGAAGTAACAGTATTCAGAAAAAATACCTCTTCTGTGAACTATGAGCATCCTGGATAGAGGAACTGTGTCTTCCTTGTTTTGCATTTCAAATGACTGGTACACAGAAGTACAGCAAATTGATGCCAAAGTAGAAAACCAAAACCTGAATCTGTTGCCACTGAGTTGATTCTGATTCATAGAGACCAAACTAGCAAATAAGTAATTATTCTAATGAATAAATATATGGGATTTCTTACACTGGTATGAAGATGATTTGATTAAATAAACCTATAGTCCATTCCTACAAATCTCTATTTAAGTGAATAAAAGTTGTTTAAAATTTTATACAATTAAATGAAACTTGGAAATAAGGTACAAATTGTCATGAGAAGTTTTCATTTTTTCAAAAGTTATTTGCGTTTGTGTACATAGGGAGAATGTGTCCTCCTATCATCCCTTCAACCTTGTCGCATTACTACTTATTTAATACAGTATATTTTAAAATAATGTATTTAAATTATTCATCACAAATTCTCATTGCTATTTTCTTTCTTCTATGTGGCAGAACAAGGTAGTGAAATATGTGCCCCCTACCATTGCTAAAAAAAGAAAATTCTTGGAAGTTCTAGTTAATGCTAAATTTTTCAAACACTTTACTCCTTATTTAGGGAAAAATATTTAAACAACCTCTTTTACTTTTTACATCATTATGATTATTTGCCTCTCTTCCTCCCAGGTACTGAAGTCCATGGAATCATTAAAATAGTAGATTCAAATTCAAGTAGTATTTTTTTTTTTTAATTCAGCATGACATTCAGTTCACTCAGTTCAAACCAATATTCTACAAATTTATTAGGAGCAAGTGAAAAAGAATAGATGAGCAAGGGAATGTGCTATTTGAATGTCTATGACCCATAGTTACTATATAATGAGATTCCCCCATCACCAAATTAAAGTCACATAAACAAAACTCATTGCTCCAAGAGTTTCTGAATTATCATTCCTGCAATTGTCATATTTTATCTACAAGTCCTTTAAGCACTTATATTTAATGTTATCCTTACTGTTAATGTTATTCAGAAATTCCCCATGTGGTATTAATCTGAAAATTTCTTGGAGAAATGAGGTTTGAAGTGCCCTGAAGCAGATGATGGCCTTAGATGACCAGAGAAGATGAGGAAAATACGGGTATAGAGTAGAAATTGACTTGGGTAAAGAGGTCATGGATTATAAATCAAGGAGAAAGACATATGTTGGAAGCAACTAATTAAGGTTCTTGAATACTAGGGATCAGAATTTAAGGTATGTATAATTCAGTAGGGGACAAATGTAGTTTTATGTTTTCAGTTTTTATTATTGTTGTTTTGTTTGGTTGTGTATAAAACTTTCCAGAATAATTTATATTTTCTAAAATGATAAAAAAGCAAAAGCAGGCTATAAGATAAATTACTGGTTGAATAGATACTGTATTTGCATTTTTTAAACAAATCTTTTTTTCTGAATTTTTTAAAAAAGAGGTGGAGAAGCTGTCCTTATGTCAAATCTGACTCATTTTAACAGTTCCTCTCAAAAATAAGCAGCTGTATTTAGTGGAAAAATTTGAAGGTGCAAAGTTGTAGTTGTCAGCTATAACAAGTTTTAATTATATGTTTTATATTTTACAGTGATGAACTTTACAGAAGTTGATTTTTTTGTCATTTTCAATACAAAATCATGATGACATAATTAACATATTTTAGTTGAAACTACTATTTGAAAAATCACTTGATTATGTCAGATATGTTTGCTTTAATATTTTGAACACAGTGCTAGATTACAGGGTTTAAAGTTGCATTATAAATATTGAATTAAATACAACCCTCCGTTTTTGACACAAAATTGACATAGTGGCTGCAACAACAGGAACAAACAGCAATAATTGTGAGGATCTCTCAAGAGGAGGCAATGTTTTATACTGTTGTAGATAGATAGGGTGCAAGTCAGAAGCAACTTGATGGCACCTAACAATATATACCATTAGAAAAATGGTTGTTCTTGAAAATTTTAAATAACAATTAAAATAATCCAATGAGTCAATATGTTTCCTATTTTGTCAAAGGAATAAATGGATCAATTTAAGCATTTGAAAACCAATTGTAATAGTATGCAAAGGTAGATGTCAATGAAATATGTACTTCTTGAAAATGTTACCAGTATTTATAAAATTTTGAGGCAAAATATCAACAGAAATATCCTGAAAATGAAAAATAATAAATGTAAACATTTTTTAAAATATTTTTTTACCAAAGGAACAACCATAATATTACTTCCTTTAGAGATAGCAAAGAACATAGTCTTTAAACCCTATATACATGATTTTAAAACAAATAAAAATTATATGAAATATACAGTTAGTGATAATAAAGATAATTTAGCTTTATATATGAGATTGCAATGTGCAATCCTTCAAAGCTGTGACATTTCTCATAATTGAGATTCATTATGCAAATAATTAAAGATTTATGATTAAAGCGTATTTCAATAATAGAATGTGAGACAAAGAAAAGATCTTATACAGGAACTACTACCCTACTCACCTTACAGGAGAAAATGAGGTCCAGAGTGATTAAATTACTTTCACAGTCACTTTCACTTACTTTCACAAAGCTACTTATGTGGAGAGTTAAATTAGAACTCAAATCCATTTTTTCCACAGGATTGGACATGTCTTTGTAAGTATAGGATATAAAAACACTTGTTTTATTTCTTTAGTTTAGCATAACACTATCAAACATTGCATACACATACGATACTTACTATGTTCCAGAAACTCTTCTAAGTACTTGACATTCATTAATTCATTTAGACTTCATGATAATACTATGAGTCAGGTACTATTATTATCCTCATTTTACACTTGGGCACAGAGAGTTTAAATAACTTGCATAAAATCACGCAGCTAGTAAGTAGTAGATCCCAGATTCAAACCCAGGCAGTGTGGCTCCAGAGAGAAAATCTTAGTGTTTTTTTTTTTTCTTAAATCTGGTCAGAGAAATTTACATTTGGGTATATTAACATTTTATGATTTTGATTTTTAAGCACTGGAAATTAATGATTGTCTCAATTTCTCTATTAAATATATTTAGCAATACTTTATAAGGAACGGTCTTGCCACAATGTATGTGACTCCTTGAATGAATGATTTGTCTAAAGTTAATATTGATCATTAAGATAGTTAAAAGAATGGAATTCTTCATTTAATTGTTCATATGGA